TNTCCGGTGCGTGTGAGCCCGTGAGTTACCGCTTCATCAAAGAGAGGAAATGGCTATTGGACGGGCGACGCCAAGAGAGGAACATGCAAGAGACTTTGCAGGAAAGGGATGGCAAGGCCATGGAAGCCAGATCAAATCTGATCCGACCAAGTCACAACCCCGGGTGGCCTTGTGTCGAGTCCAAAACAGACCGAAACAGGGTAGCACTGCCCTGTGTCATGATCTAGATGCCCCACCCAGACATTGGGATCCGTCCGGAGGTCAATTCATCAATGGCCCCTTCCCTTGCGTGGCATGTGGCAAAGCAACAAACGGACAAGCCGACAGCACACAAACACACAAACACACAAATACACAAACACACAAACACGCAGCACGAGCATCCTAATCGGCCGTGTAGTACACCACCAGCTCGGGATAGATTTGAGCATTCTCAAAGATAATCACCTCGTGAAAACGTCTGGGCGGCGTCGCGATGACCGAGTCAAATCTAGAAGAAAGGGCGGACGCAGCAGTCGGGTCGGGTCAGAGCAAAAGACCGGCAGAAGGCGGGCAGGAGACGTCGGGCAGGAGACGTCGGGCAGCATGCCAGAATCAGAAAATTTTGTTCGACGAACCGCTCGTTGTTGGGTGCATCGGGCAGCAGTGGAGGAGCCAGTGCCCGAGAACGAGGCGAAGGACGGACATAGGCATGGCCTAACAGGGCTCGCGTAATAATGAGCATCCGCTCGCCGTTTGCTCCAGGCGTCGCATAATGGTGACTCTACACCCAGGTTCAAGTAGACGCACAGCGCCAATAAAGCAATGTGAGGACACACACGTAGAACCCTGCACACCAACAATTCGACCACACCTTTCTAGGATGGTCGGCCAAGTAAACGCCAAGACCATACTTGTGGCCTGAGCTGCGACCAGCGAAGCGATGATCAAAGCCCAGGCGCACAATCTTGTCTCGAAGTGATCGCACGGGCGCAATGCCGTGGAGCAACAAGCGCTCTTGACAGGATGCATCTCGAAGCAAAGCTGGACAGCCCGAGAGCGCATCCAACGTGGCCGTATGAAGTCGATCATAGTGCTCCTGACCCGTGAGGCGGTGCAGCATCTCCCGTCGCTTGGCGCTGTACCGTTCCCACAGCACGGGGTTCTGCACACGCTCCACCCGCCGCACTGCAACGTTGCTTGGTCCCTGCCCGTCAGCACTCAGCTGCTGTAGCAGCTCAACCACCTTAGTACACAATGGGGTCAAATCAGTCGGCTTGTCAGGATAAAAGAATATTATTGCAATTATATCATCAAGCAACGCACCTCGGGGATGAGCTCGGGTGCGTCGCGCAAAACGTCAATAGCTGGCCCGGCATGGGCCGCGACAGATCGTTCTGCAATCTGCCGGCCGCTCAATAGGCTCGGCCGTTGTTTCGGATCTGTTGCAAGCAAGGCCCGTGTTTCCTTGTACAAATCACTCGACGAATCGCATATCTGCAATGGAAAAAGGTACATGAGCTTAGAATAAGCTGGCCTTGCCTGATCCAGCCAAAAATGCATCACTGACCTCAGCCGCCAAGTGCGGAAAGCTGCAGACACTAACTCTCGCTGGTAAATTCCATCTGCATTGATCCACGACCTCATCGCCCCGTGACTGAGCAGGCGGCACCGTTTGTGGATACATGTACGTGTTGTAGAGAACGCAGCCGAAGGAAAAGGCATCTTGTGCCGGGCGCGCGCCTACTCGACCCTGGCCGAAAAGCACCTCCGGTGCGACGTAGCCCGCCGTACCCGACGACGCGGTGGCAGTACAAGGCAACATCGTAGCTTCAGCGGCGGCTTTGGCAATGTCGAAATCACCCAGCCGCACTACAGGCTGGTCCTCTGCACCGTCCAACATGATGTTGCTCAGCTTGACATCTCGATGCACCAAGCCCTTGCTATGCATAAACGCCAGCGCCGTGCGCAGCTGAGTCATCAGACTCGCAATCACGGTTGAGGTGGCCATGTGGCGCGCCTTACCGAGCCACTGCTGCAGATCCCCTTGCGTACACCACAGCTGCACCAAGTAGGCGCTGGGGTGGCCACTGTGCACGTCCACGAGCGCGCCGAGGACCGGGATGATGTGTGGGTGCTGAAGCTGGCGCATGGCGCGTAGTTCGCGCAGGAATGTACGGCACTGGTCCTGCTTGTGTTGCCGAGCAAAAGCATACTCCTTGACGGCCAAATCTTGTTCCCCAGAATCTTTCAGCGCGGCACGGGCCTTGTACACCTTGTGGTTTTGGTTGTAATGAAGATCAAGCTGGCCCAGGCTGGAGAGCGACAATGTGCGATCCACTTCGGTCATGGCCTCCAAGATCAGGCTGGCTGGAAGGTCCGGCCCAAGCACTGTGCGGAGACGCGCTCCCAGCGTGCTCTGTTCAGGGTGCAGAAAGACCAGCAGCGCTGGAAAGTGTTGGTGCAGCAGCTGGGCGAGCTCTGCGACGTGGTCCACGTGAGAATGATTTGATAATTGTTGTTGCAAGGTATCCAGCCGTTCCTTCTTCTCTTGGAGCTTGTGTTCGAGGCTTGGACGCACGTCTTCAGGCACCAGCTGCAACGCTGCACTGATACCTTGAACCTCAGTCTCCACCGTGGTCAATTCCTTGTGAGCAGCAACTGATTCATCATCGACGCCTTGAGTCAAGCTGTCCACATGACTCATGCACGAGTCCAACACGGAGAGCGTCGTGGCCTGCCAGTCGATCATGTCTTGCAACTGCTGCATCAGAGCTTGCGACTCGTGGTGCACAAACGTCAGATACCAATCCTGATACTCGTAGTCTGGAGGTGGTTGCCACTGAGCAATTTGCTCGAGACCATTCTGCTCGAGCAGGCTCAGCTTCTTGTGCGCTTGACACAGCTCCTCCCAGGCCTCGGGCAATGCCTCGGCTGGAGGTGGTGCACTCACATCCAAGCCTTTTGCACACTGCTCTAGTGCGTCCACGCGATGGTCCGTGTCGGTGGTTCCCGCTCTTGCCACAGCACGCAGGGCAGTAATCAGCGCCAGCGCCAGCTGCTGGAGGTTGCTGTTGGCACTGGTGAGCAATTGTTGGCGCTTGGCTCCCACGTCGTGTAGTCCGACGAGTTTATCCAGGACTGCTGCAAGGTCGGTTGGCATTGCCTCTTGGTTTGGTCCAATTGCCTGCATCGCGCCGGCATTCTTGGAGCTGGGACTTGGTTTGTGACGCTTAGAAGGCGGCGTGCCATTTGTTGCGGGTGGCGCCTGGGGCATATTAACTGTAAACTTCTTGTCAAAGTCACTGGCACATGGTTGCAAGGCACTCAACACCGGCTGCAACGAAAACTGCTTTACGATATCGCGCAGCTCTTGCAGCACTGCTTCTAGGTTGTCAGTGTTGGGGTCCAATTGACCCAAGCGGTTGTTCAACGCTTCGGGCGCTGCCAGTGCCTGGTCGAGCGCGCCGAGGGCCTGGGTGGTGGTCGCCTGGAAGGCAGCCCAGTCCATGGCAGGAAACTCTGGTGGCGCTTCATCGATGGTCCTCTGGATGTCCGCAACTGCCGTTGCAAGATTGGGGTTTTGTTTGGCGGCACCGCTGATAAAGGCATCGAGGTGGGGGAGAGGATGGGTGGTGGTGCGCTCCGGCAGGAGGGGCCTAAGCCAAGTATCCACCACCACCACAACAGAGGCCGTGGTCTAATGGAGGGTTGTGTGGTGCCCATTGGTCGTGATGAGGTTGGACGAGGCCGTAGGAATTGGGGTAGTAAATGCATTGGGGAAAACAAGATGGGGGAGCAGGCTCACCTCGAGGGTGGGGGTGGTGGGCAGAGGCGGTAGCCAGGCGGAAGGCGGTGCCGGCGTAGGCGGAGCGAGTGGTGCGGGTGGTTGTGATAGGCGAGCCTCGTGAGCAGCAAACACGGGCTCCAGCTTGTCGCCATGCCCGCATTGACGTCCGAGATCAAGGGGCGTTTTGCCATCCTGAGAACATGTGATTGGAGCGTGTGAGGTGGGCAGCGACGTGAGGGCTGAGTTGGGCGACGTGCATTTGCTTTGATATAACACAGGCGAGGTGACAATGCTTTGAAGTGGGCCGAAGACGCCAGACGCGCGAGTGGTGTGCAAATGGTGCGGGCAGGTAGCAGGGGTCCGAACGGAGGCGTGCTTGGAGAGAGGAAAAAAAAAAAGGATACGGCGCGTGTGCCGGGGGCAAAAGTCAAGGCACGGTCACCGAGAGCCGCTTGGGCGAGCCAGGGAGGCAGAGGCGTGATGGCAAGGGGTTGGGGATGGATCAGAAAAAGGGGAGAGCGAGGACGGCAGGCGGAAGAGACAAGCGGGGCGCGGGGAGCACCGACAACGGGCGGACGCAAAACGGTGGAAGAAGAGGGATAGCGGGAAAGAAGACAAGGTGCCAGGGGGGAAGAACGGACGCGCACGGATGGGCAGGGTGTAGCGGAGAGGAGGGACGGGGGCAAAGGCGACGGGGCAGCGGGAGCAGGAGCAGCAGCCAGAGGGGTAAAGGGGGGAAGAGGGAGGTACTGGACTGACGTAGTTCTTGGCTTTAGTATCAGCACCGTACTTCAACAGCATCTCCACCACCTTGTCATGACCGTTAATGCAGGCATAGTGCAGTGGTGTCCAGCCATCCTGTGGGATGATGCATCAGCATGACGTACAGCATCATCATCATGGGGTACGGGTGCACCATCATAGGGGGGTAAAGGGGGGAAGAGGGAGGTACTGGACTGACGTTGGCCTTGGCTTTAGCATCAGCACCGTGCTTCAACAGCATCTCCACCACCTTGTCATGACCGTTACGGCAGGCCCAGTGCAGTGGTGTATCGCCACCCTGTGGGATGATGCATCAGCATGACGTACAGGTACAGCATCAGCATCATCATCATCAACATCATCATCATCATGGGGTACAGGTGCACCATCATAGGGGGATAAAGGGGGGAAGAGGGAGGTACTGTACTGACCCTGCCCTTGGCTTTAGTATCAGCACCGTGCTTCAACAGCATCTCCACCACCTTGACAAGACCGTAACGGCAGGCCCAGTGCAGTGGTGTTTGGCCATGCTGTGGGATGATGCAAACATGCAGTATATGTCCCATGTTATACCATAACGTCACCCCATCCAGTGACATATT